CACCAACCCATGGAAACTTCGCACATCCGAAACTGATGTGGGTGTTGGCCATTCCTTAATAGCTTTCACTTTCTCCTCATCTATCTCAATACCCTGTGCACTCATAAGAAAACCAAGAAACACAAGTCTATCTATACAAAATGTGCATTTCTTAAGCTTAGCATACAATTGGTCAGATCTTAAAGCTTGCAATACTAGCCTAACATGCTCAACATGATCATTAAGAGACTTGTTATAAACAAGTATATCATTAAAGTACACAACCACAAATTTTCCTAAGAAAGCTCGTAAAACATGGTTCATAAGCCTCATAAATATACTAGGTGTATTAGATAATCCGAAAGGCATTACTAACCATTCATACAAACCATACTTAGTTTTAAAAGCGATTTTCCATTCATCCCCTGGTTGCATTCTAATCTGATGATAACCACTCATTAAGTCAATTTTATTAAATCGATCTTTTGTAAAAGTAAGTAGGCCCCACACAACTCATCATAACATGTCATCAAGTCTGGGATTAGGGTGTCTGTAACTTTACAGTGATTCTTGTTACCGCCTTACCAATCAATGCACATATCGCCATTGTACTCATCCTTGTTTTTTGGTTACATAAAAGTACTGGAAGAACCTGGAACGGCACAAGGACTCATGCTTTCTCGCACCAATCCTTTCTCCATAAGCTCATCAACTTGCCTTTGCAACTCCTTTGTATCCGTCGGATTGCTTCGATAGGCTGGTCGATTTGGAATGGTGGAACCGGGAATGAAATCAATCTGATGTTCTATGCCTCTCAAAGGTGGTAATCCACTAGGTAGCTCCTCTGGAAAAGCATCAGTGAATTCCTGTAACATAGAAACAAACACAGGAGGTAAACCATCAAGATTAGTGTCAGCGTTAGAAAATAAAATTTCCTTGAACCTAAGAAGCACTTGAACCTAAGAAGCAACACGGGCTGCCTCAAGGCTATGGCACACTTAACCTCTCTAACTCTCGCATAAAAAGTGTGTTTCTTTCTCTCTCCTCTCGGTGTTCCACTCACCGTTGGGCCAATAATCTGTTTGGTATCTTTTGTGGCCTCTTTCTTTTCAACCTCTCTCTTAACACTCTTTTGTTCTCTCGAACTGGAAGCCTGGAAATGCCTCACTCTTCTTTTCCCTCAAGAAGCTGAAGTTCTCTCTTTCCTCTCGCAGTATATTTCTTCTTGATGTGTTATACTTCTTGAATGCTCCTTTGTTCCTTTGATCTCCATGGATGAGTGTTGGCGGATTCATATCACAAAGAGTATCGGTTAAAGAACCCATCATGTAGTGCCTTTCGATCATATTGCCATGGCCTTCCCAACAATAGATGGCCTGCCTGCATCAGTACTACATCACACAAAATCTCATCTTTGTACCATCCAATGGGGAATGGCACAAGCACCTGACGTGTCACCTTCACCTCTCCACCATCATTCAACCATTGCAATCTATAAGGTTTAGGATGTTTAAGACATGTCAAATTCAACTTATTCACCATACTCACACTAGCAACATTAGTGCAACGCAACTACCCCCATCCAATTAATAAGCAAGGCACACTTTTCATGTAATCAGAGCATCTAGTGTGAAATATGTTGGCTCACTTGTTCAAGCCTCTCCTCCTTAACATGCATATTCCAACAACCGCCTAACGCCTAACAACTAGAGATTCTCCACGTTCAGCAAACAACAAGTTATGCTCATCCTCATCTGAATTATCATTATCAACATCATGCAAATGAGGCATATTATCACAATCACTACATTCGGATTCAGAATTAACATTTCCATCTTCCCTAACAATCATAACCCTTTTATTAGGACATTGAGATGCAATATGCCCTTTTCCTAAACACTTAAAGCATTTAATCTCTAGCAGGGTTTATAGAGTTAGAAGTACCTTTGTTTCCTTTGAATGTAGTTTGGGCAACCTCTTTACCTTTCGAAACTGATTCAGTTCTTTGGAAACTAGGACCTTTGAAATCTCTCTTCTCTCCTCCTTTGGACCATTTGGTTTCCAAAGTATTGTTGGAATATTTGTTGGTAGACTTTCCCTTGTTCTGCCTTTCTAGCTTCATGGCCATATCTATCATCTCTTCTAGTGTATCATAGCGATACATCTCCAAAGCATCAGCAATATAGCTATTTAGACCTCCAAGGAATCGTGACATGGTGATTTAGGTGATACAGATCAAGGGAGCAAGATGAAGGATCCTTTAGCTCTACCCGAGGGACCAATCACAAGAGCTCGTGCAACGAAGCTACGAACAGCCTTGAATGCATTTACTCAAGAACAAATCACATTGGAGCTTCAAGATCATAATTATGCAAGATGTGAGATTGAACTTGAAGCAATTCAACCTCCTTCATGGTCTCCCATTTGTGGTACGGGTCGCATTTCCCTTTCTTCCTTTCTCCTTTAACAAACCACTGTTCCCCGCCAGAACATAGCATTATCCCTTAAACTCAACTGGCTTGCAGGTTGAGACTCTTCGTTTCAGATAATTATGACATCTTCAAAAATTGCTCAACCCCTTTCTTTCCCATTCTAAGTACTCTTTCTGCGTTTTTGTTTTCCATGGAAACTCCTAACCTTTTCAATTTTAAAATGGAACCCAAAGTCACCATCAAGCTGTTACTAACTCCGGATTATCAACTTCATCATTCTTCAGGAATTTGAAATTCAATCGGGTGGAGTATTAGCTTGACGCAGCTTCTTTGTAGTATTGGAGCTTTTTGGGGCAGCTTTAATTTTCCTGGCAATTTCCTCTCTCCAAGATCTTGGCAGTGGAAAGTTGTTATTAGGATCGAAATTGCCCTTGAATCGGACTCACATAAAAGCTTCAATTGGGGTCTTGAATTTGCCTCCCATCGTTTACTAGATATCTCCTTGACTGTTCCTGTACTCGATTGGATTAGTACTCAAAAAGAAATCACAAAAAAGGAAATTGGTTTAAAAGTGAAGAAAACCCACTACCTCACGTGTTTACACTCCTTAACCCACTCTTTGCCAACATCCTTCTGAATTGTACTCAGAATTTTAAGCCAACCACATCAAAGTCTCCAGAACACGTTCTAGAAACACAAGGGAAACAAAACCTTAACAACAACTAAGCGCACAAACTCTAGAAAGAAGACTCAAAAACGATAATGCATTGTAGTACCAAGGACAAAGATGCATGTACACTTGATATATAATTTTTTAGAGTGTAGTTGAAACAAACAAATACACCCTAATAATGGTAAAAAATAGAGGCAAAAAGGAGAAAGCTTCAAAACAAGAATAAATACCAAACTAGAAATTTAAAAAGGACGAATTTCTGATATAATGTATGGAATTTAGTTCACACAAGCAAAAACCAAATATGGAAACCTAATTTTACTTCTACCCAAAAACAATTGCAAAAGCAAACAAAGAAAAAAAACCCAAAAAAAAAAAATAAAATTTTTTTCTAAGGTACTGTAGCACGGGATGGCTAACTGAAGTACCTGTAGCACTTTTAGTGTAGAAGTGACTGTTAGCAAAGTTCCTGTGGAGCAAGTTGGACCCCAATTTAGGGTAGTGGAGTTCCTGTTAAGCAAAGTGAACCCAATTTGTGTCTTCCGAATTTCCCAATTTTAGGTAGTTAATGAATTATAATTAATTGTCCAACAATGCTTTTGTGTCCCCCAATTCAAATTTGGTAGGTAATAATTAGTTGTACAACAATGACTTTCTTTTTTTTTTTTTAAATCAAGAACACAAGAAGAAAACTCAAGGAATAACAAAGCAAAAACCCAGATTTTGGAATAACTCCAAAAGGAAAATCGAACACTAAACAAACACAAAGAAGAAAAGCAAGATGAAACCTAGATCCAAGAAGATCTAACACGAAAAATCTAGATCCGAGAAGATCTAAAATGAAAAATCTAGATCTAAAATGAAAGCAAGCACTAAGACAACATCAAAGGAATTCCAGCAACAAAAAAACTAGATCCAACAAGATTTAAAGAGAAAAATTCCAGATCTACAATGAAATCAAGAAATAAGACAAACAACAATGGAATCCAACAACAAGAAAACTCAAATTCCTAACTAAGATAACAATCCAGCAACAAAGAGAAAACTCAAAATTCCTAAACATAAAGAGAAACAGGAGACTTTAACCCCCAAAACTTTGAGATTTTGGCTTCTGATACAGAATATACGATCGAATTCCAAAAGGGATGAGATGTGTTCCCTCTTTATGCACCCTCGGTTTTATAATGGGAAACGGAGAACACCCAATAATCGAAGATCTAAAATGCTCTTATGCACCCCACGTTTATTTAAGGAAACGGTAACACCCAATAATCAAGCACAAGAAAACAAAGATGAAATCGCCAAACAAACGAATTAATAAGTTTAAACCTAAATTCTCGATGCAAAATTAAGGAAAGGCAATCTCTCACTTTCACTCTAGCAAATGGAAACAAGAAAGCTTTGAACCAAATGAAGTTTTTTCAATTTTTTATCAAAAAAATTCCGTCCTTTACCAAGGAAGACCAAGTTATTTATAGCTAAATAAAGGAATCTAGGTTTAACAAAGCATAAAAACACATAAAAACACGCCTAATTCCCTCCCAAGCCTTTCAAGCTAATTGGCGCGGGCCACTGTAAGCAGGCGTGCCTTCCCTCCACACTGTAGCAGTCAAGCTAATTTATTGGGAGTGCTTCAAACTTTCACGGGCCCACCAAAACAACAATTTAGAAGCCTTAGGAATGCCTTCCAAGCTCCTTCACAACCCCACTTTGTTGAAATGCGACATTCATGAGTTCTTGTTCTATTTGGTGCTCTTGAAAAACAAATTAAGATATGGCTGCCCCATATCGCTTGGCCACGGCTCCTTGTTAATCGGTTCCAAATGGAAGCAACCAAATGAATCTCCTTGCTCCTTGTAATCGGTCCAATAGGAAGCACCAATGGATCTCCTTCGTCGTTCACCATGCCTCCTTGCGATCCAGTGACGAGTGATGATGGATCCGCATCAGTATGAACCTATCAAAAAATTATTTTAAACATTCTTCCAAAAACAAAAAGCCACTTGGCACATTTTTTACACTTTCAAAGAGACCACAGGCCCACAATTGCACCTCTCCAATAGGTGTAGTGTTCCTTGGTGGACCAAAAACACTAGTTTTGGATTATAAAATTAGTTGCGCAAATGTTTTCCCACGTAAACAAGGTTAAGTCATTTTTCTTAATTGCTAACTTATTTTTCATTAGCCAACAACTTATTTTTCTTGACTTATTTTCTTTTAATGTTCCAAACAATGAAAAATTATGGAAAATATTTTCCTACAAGTTATTCTACAGAAAAAAAACGAAGCCTAGGATGAGATTAAGTATTAGAAATAAAGTGATTCATGCCTAAAATAAGTACAAATGGTACTTGGTCAAGCATAAAGAAATTAAAGAAAAAGCATGAATACTACATTCTAATACTTAAATTTGCATCCTTATGACAATATGTGTATGTCTAATGTGTAGTATGGAGTTAATATGAATACTAATTTTATGCTACAGCTTCTAAGAGGAGAGGATTGAAAATAGAAGTTAATAAGTAACGGAGTGGAGTATGGGGAGCCTTGTAGCTCAGGTTAGTCCATTATATCTAGAACTTATGTTGTTTAAATGATAAGCAAAATGGTTTTAAAGAAACGTTTTATGAAATGTTACAAAGGTACAAGCAATAAAGCCAAGCTTTTATGTTATGAGTTCTAATAAGAGAAAAGCTGATTTGTTTATCAAATGTTTCATCAAATGGAATTGAATTCGAGTATGATTATTGTGATTATGAATTGATTTTAAAGAAAGAAAATATTAAAGTTAAAGTTAAATGTGTTTTATGTAAAATAATAAAGATTTAATACTAAATTTTTTACAATGGTTGGAAATACTCGTTTGAATGGAAAATGGAGGATGTTGACCATTGACTCTTGTAGTATGAGGGGTGATCTTGAAAGAATGAAAATAGAAGTGCTTGAGCTAAATGATATGTTGCTCATTATGGTTTATAATTGATTTATAATGGAGATACTTGAAAAGTCCCATAGCTAAATGTATGACATGCTTATTACCCGATATCACTTCATTTATTGAAGTTAATATTATGACATAGTTATTGTCCTACTGATATCATTTCATTTGTTGAAGTTAATATTATGACATAGTTATTGTATTTATAACTGGAGCATACTTGAAAATCCCATAGCCTAAGAATGTATGAACTTGCTTATTAACCCGATATCACTTCGATTTATTGAAGTAAAGTATTGTGAGCAATAAGTTATTGGTTCCTGCTACTGATATCAATTTCATTTGTTGAAGGTTTAAATTATACAAGTTATCCTACTGATGTCCCACTGTTCATTTGTTTGAAATTGAGTTATTAGTATTACCCGATATCACTTCATTTATTGAAGTTAATATTATGACATAGTTATTGTCCTACTGATATCATTTCATTTGTTGAAGTTAATATTATGACATAGTTATTGTCCTACTGATGTCACTTCATTTGTTGAAATTGATATAGTGATTCATATGGATATGGCAATGAAAGATATTGCAAATGATATTGTTCCCTCTTAGATAAGGTTGAGATTATCCCTCTTCTGTTAATTTTCATATCATAGATTGAGGTTGAGATAGCTTTGTCTTGATGAGTTCATAAGGCACTGGCCCTTTGAATTGAGTATACATAAGCTGTGAATGATTTATTGATATGTTATAATATCTCCTTTTAATTTCTTACTTCGGATACCAAAAACCCATTTCGCTTAACTTGGGACGAAAGCGTGAATTGATTTGTTTTTAGTGAGCAAATGAATATGATTTAACTAATAAGCTTATTTATCTCTCTATCTAATTGATTTATTTTCAGTAAGCAAATGATAAGCATCAACTTGAAAAAGGTAATTTTGAGATTATTTTTCACACTTAAACATCTTAAATACCTAATGGTGAAATATAATTATATTATGTAATTTATATAGTACACTATTAAGTCTTATATTTCGCTATAGTTGTTTTCTATACTATCGCAAGAAAAAGGAAAGAAGAAGAAGTAGGGGAGAGAGAGAGAGAGAGTCATGCAGAGTACTGAGCTCTTTCTACAGCTTTGAAAGGTGAGCTACTGAGGTAGCCATTACCTTATGAATAATCTTGTTGAATTTTGTATTATGTATAATAAAGACTGGTAACTAATATATATATTGAGCATACCAATGCAAATGAAAGCTATATAAGTTTACAGTAATAATACACATTATAAAGCACTAGAAAAGTTTTACTTTTTAAAACTAACTTGTCTTAATTTTAATTTTTAAGGAACAATCCCGTATGTGATCTTCCTTTTAATGCGCTTATGGGTAATGGTTTCATCAATGTATTTTAATATGTAAGTGTATAATGTATAAAGGACTTTTAGTTAAAATGTTTTGATTAGTGGAATGTTTATATCTTTTGTATAAAGGCAATTTATTAAGTTCGACATTTTATCAAGTATGGGTTTATGATATCAAAAATGTTTTAAATAGTTTTGAACTTATTACAACTTATGCATCTTGTAAATGGGAAGTTAAGTCCCTTGTAGTATGTTTATTGAGTTCTTATGTAGACTAAGTGCTTGATAAACATATTACGGGCGACATGGCATACTTTACAATGGGAAAATGTGTGACATGTTTATTTTAGTATCAGAGCATGGTTTAGTTGTATACCGGATTAAATTTTGGATAGTTAAAAGTGTATTTATAAGTTTGCTCGAATATTAAGTGACGGTTAATCATTAGATATCTACATCATACAATTTTCTAATAATTATTTGAAGGAAGTGCCCTATAGATAAGAGTTTGAGAAAAATATCCCTATAGAATCATAATATGGAGGGTGATAATTACGGGAAGTAATTTTATCTCCCTTAGTAGTAGTCTGATGTAGGTTATCTCCATAGAATTATAATTTACATCATCGATTCTCTTTATTTGGGCTGCTAAACTGATAGTTCAACAGATGTGTCATGCCCGACTCTAATCACTAGAGGAATTGTCCGCTTTGGATCAAGCCAAATCACGCATACAAGATTGGCATAATTTACATCATCGATTCTCTTTATTTGGGCTGCTAAACTGATAGTTCAACAAATGTGTCATGCCCGACTCTAATCACTAGAGGAATTGTCCGCTTTGGATCAAGCCAAATCACCCATACAAGATTGGCAAGACTCGCACGGTTTTGTCCCGAATGTGTCATGCCCGGGATAAAAACCCCTCTAATCACTAGAGTGAATTGTCCGCTTGGCTGATTCAAAGCCCCAAGAGATCACCATAACCAAGTATTGGCAAGACTGTCGCACCGTTTTGTTCCCGTAATGAAATGGAAAAACTTTCCCAGGGGAGGTCCACCCATCCTTAGGATTTTCGTTAAGCGAGCCATGCTTAAACCCCTTAGAGGTTCTGTCCAACCGGTCCAGTCATTCCACCAAAAAAGGCGCCTCTAATGATTAGGTAAAACCGCTATCTTTTAGTGTCGGTTGTTAATAGTGAATTTACGAGAGTTGTGAAATACCATCAGTCGTGGACTTGGTATGTATTTTAGGTTCCAGAAAAAAAAGATGGTACTATGCATGATTTGAAATATTTTAGTTTTACTTATTTTTGGAAGCATGTTTGGAGGATGATTAGCGGTAGAAAAGTAAATTTCGCATGAATATTATTGGGAGAGGTTTATGTATGTAAGGAAATTATTATTTCTAGTGGTGTATATTGTAAGAAATAAATTATGAATTCTGTGTAGTGGGTTAATTTAATTTAACTGTAGAGGTAGATGTAATAAGCTAGGAAGAGAAATTATTTAGAAGTAATTAGACCGTTTGGTAGTGAAAACATTGCCCCAGTTAGGGGCACAGAACACTTTAGGCGAATTCCCGACATCGGGCTACGCACGGAAAGTGGAAGTCTCTAACAAGATAAAAGGTGGCAACCTTGAAACTAGGTGTGACGATTTGGGCTGCAGAAGCGATTTTCCCTAGCCCAGAAAAACAAAACCGTGAGGGGTTCAGCCTGACTTTAGCACCCAAAGGCGTAAGCCCAACTATCACCACGTAGGGCGTGGGGCTGTTACAATGTTGGTGTATCAGAGCCAAAGCCTTTGTCCCTCTGGCCGGGTGGTGTGCAAAGACCTCCACGAGGAACGCTGGGAGGTCCTAGAGGGGGTGTATGTGACATCCCAGGTTTGGGCACAACCACCTTTAGGGGCGGAATCCCACATCCTACGGGCAAAGTGGAAATCCTATACAATGTAGGAAAAGGGTGGCAAGCGCTGAGGCTAGGTTGACGCGATGTGTTGGGGCTGGCAGAGCGGTTTTCACCTAAGCCCCAAAAATAAAACCGGTGAGGGGTTCAGGGCCAGTGTGGCACCCAAAGCGGACGAATATCACACTTAGGGCTGGCTGTAACAGCCTTGAGATGAGATTTGACGTTGACTGTATGCTTAGCACACATTTGGCATTAAGATGAAGAATAAAATTTTTATTTTGTCAACAAAATTGACTGTTTTAGTCAAGCTTTGTTCCTTTCTCTCTTCTCCTTTCGGTCCAACGCCGATTTTCATCTTCTTCCTGCTTCCTTCATTTTTCATTTGGCTTACTCCAAATTACCACCAGCTACCAAATTAAACCAGAAATTAGGACTTTAATCTTAAAAAGACCTTAAAGTAGTAGAGAGTTGGTGAGATGGTATTGTAAAAAGCAAAAAGAATTTGAAACAGTTTTACCATTGAAGCAAGTAAGTTGTGCGTTTTGAGTTTGTGAATTTAATGAAGAGTAAGATCCATGGTTTAACGAGTTTATTGAGTGCATTTATAATTCATGCGTCCAACTATGTGCTTTGTTCAGATTTTTGCTTAATTTGATGATTTCTCATACTTTGAAGAAAGATGTTGGAGAGACCATCCTGCAAAAAGGTAAAAGAAGCCAAGGAGAAGGCTTCCAAGCT